GACCCACACGAGAAGATCTTCAGCGGCTACTCGATATTGGAGAGACCCGCGGGTTTCCTGGTATGGTCGGCAGCATTGACTGTATGCATTGGAAGTGGAAAAATTGTCCGACCTCTTGGAAGGGACAGTACGCCCGTGGATCAGGAAAACCGTCAATTGTCTTAGAGGCGGTTGCTTCACAAGATCTTTGGATATGGCACGCGTTTTTTGGTCTTCCAGGTACCTTAAACGATATTAATATCCTCGATCGGTCTCCTGTTTTTGATGACATTGTACAAGGTCGGGCTCCCACGTTAGAGTACATGGTCAACAGACACAAGTACAATTTGGCGTACTACCTCACAGACGGTATCTATCCAAATTGGTCTACATTTATCCAATCTATTTCACTCCCTCAAAGTCCGAAAGCAGAGTTATTTGCCAAATATCAAGAAGCAACCCGAAAAGATGTGGAACGGGCTTTTGGAGTATTGCAAGCTCGGTTCGCGATTGTGAAAAATCCGGCTCTTTCATGGGACAAGGAAAATCTAGGGAAGATAATGAGAACATGTATCATACTTCATAATATGATAGTCGAAAATGAATGAGATGGCTACACTCATTACGATCCAGCTGAATTTGAAGAAGAAAATGTAACCAGAAGTTCACGGGTGGATGTGTCTTATAGTAGGTACACGCCTCCAAGTATCGAGGAAATGCGTGGCGTTCGGATTCATATTCGCGATAGACGTATCCATGACCAATTGAAGAATGATTTAATAGAAAATATTTGGAACAAATTTGGTTATGAAGATTAATAAAATTGTTGTATTTCCATATTTTATCAAAAAATAAATAAATTTTCAATTTTTATTTTTTTTAAAAAAATTATTATTTTATTCCTAAGGATTCGGGATTGGAGAACACCATTGGACGCTAAAAAAGGATTAAGATCCTTAACTATTCAAAAAGTACAAAAAAATAATAAAAAATCCCTAAGGATTCATTGGAGAGGCACACCAATGTGCATGCTCTTATTACTTAGGGTTACCTCCGATTAAAAAAGTATATATAGCACGCATAAGATTCCCGCTATACACGTGTCGTAGCTATATTGGATGTGATTTAGATTTCGGCTGTGATCCAACTATCGGGATATTTGTTTCCGGTTTGGGATGGAACTTATCCAAAACCGGTAAAAGCCCATATCGGTAGCGATCTAACGACAAATAATGCTATTGGTGAATAGACATCTTATTGATGGATTGATAAAAAAAGACATCTTTTTGATAAAAAAAAAAGACATCTTTTTGATGGAATAAGCATGTTAATTTTGCAATTTTTTAATGAAGAAATATAAAATGTTTCAAATTATTAGTTTACTGGTTTTGTTGCAAATTAAAATTATTGATTTTAATGTTACTGTTGAGAGATTAAAAGTACAAAGTGCTAGTGATTTAAAAATAGAAACTTTAATGCCTAAAACTAAAACCAATGGTAGTTACACAGATGGTATATATAGGATGTTCTTTGATTGATGATATTTGATATGTCCTTTCTATTTTTTTTGTCCAAGATATGTCATTTCTATTAAAGTCAAATTAGAATTGATATCTTTTTTTTTTTTTTTGTTCAAAGAATTGATATCTATCCTTAGGAATATTGCTGGTTGTTATATTTAAAAAAAAAGTAAAAATGTTGGTTAGGTCACTTTCAACACTACTTTACCTAAGATAGTATGTAATAGAAACTTTTTGTAAGGATGAATTTCTTTTACTTGATAACTTTTGAGAATACTGTATGATATTTTTTTTATGAGTGATCAACTTTTGAAAATAAAAACTATTTGCACGATTAAATCATACAACATAATGATATTAAATTATTGAGATATTTATTGACAATCTTTATAATGTATATTTAAAATTCATCAAGTTTATGAAGAAGATTGTCGCTGTAACTGATGGCATATTTTTCAATTGCTGGTTGTTATGGAATCGAGTTTAAGTTAATTTATTTATACACTTCATAATATGCTATGAATCATTCGCTGATTACAAGTTGTGTGCTTAAAAAGATGAAGATGGTGAAATTCTTTTTAGACTTAAGCATCGATCAACTAAGTAGATTGGATCATAACAACAGATAACGGAAAACAAAAACAAAATCAATTATCGCAAAAGACGAATCATATAAAAAAGCAAGAGCACATGTTCGTTTTGTGATAACAAATTATTCACTTCTTAGCTTGTTGGTTAGCTGAATCTATAGCGGAGGGAGGAGCACTGCCGGAGAGAGTAGGTGCGTCGGTTGCGCCACCACCTTGGCCAGGCTTAACCTCTAGGTGACCGGAAGTTCCATAAGCGTTCTTCTTGTAATCTTCAATATCCTCGTACTTTGTGTACGGACTCGTTTCTAGTGGTAACTCTTGTTTCTCTGGTGGTGGCTTCGACATGTTTCTTGAACAAAGGTTAGCTTTCTTCCCTTCTTGTGTAAAGAGTTAAGACAATATATATTTATATTTTAGAAAGAATAAAAAGGTTAATTACTTATGGGAGATGGAACTAAACGTTGTCCAAAGAAATTGCACAATATTGGCCATGGAACTAGGGAGTGGTTTTTGACTAGGTAATTTCTTCGATATTTAATACTAAGAATTGTAATTTATTATTAATATATTAACTGTGTTTGTAATCCTTCTTCCATCATCCATCATATTCAATAAGCTAACCAAGTCTTTTATATCTTTCAATCCTCGGATGCATTGTATTTCCCACAACAAAAACATGGCACTGGATATGAAAATTTGGACACTATAGACATTTCTTAAGAACTTACTATAAGAAGATTTTATATTATTTTGAGATATATGTTATGTAAAATTGAGGGCCGTGAAAGTGAATATTTTACTGGACTAGGAGTTCGAACTCCCTACCTTTGAACCAGTGCCGGCCCTTGACAGAAGCTGAAGAAGCGAATGCTTGCGGCCGTGAATTTTAAGATTAATTTTTGGCCACATTTTTCAAAAGGTTTCCGTAGTCTAGTGGTAGGTATAGAGTATCTACACATACGTTGGAGCGTGGTTCAAACGTAATAGCTACAATTCTTCTTTTTAATTTTTTTTCCTTTTAAAAGTGGCCACATTTTTTTTGTTTTTTTAGGCTTTAGAATTCTAAGACCGGTTCTACTTTGAACTATGTATCACCATCGCTACCAAAACAGCAACTAATAATGTAAATTAAACAGTATTATAGGGTCCAACCGGGGCACATCTGTTGTAAAATATTTCGGTTTATTTGAATAATTTAACATTATTTAAAAAAAAATGTTAATGTAAAAACTTTCAATTTTTCTTAAAGACTATTGTTAATGTTTTATTGAGCTTGGCCTAAATCTAACCCTTGCTAATCTTCAAATCGAACTACAACCCATTTCTTGTCTTATGGTTCAGTCATGAGTTCTCTAGTGAATAAAAGTAAAATTCTCGCGAGTTGCTCGATGAGAGAACTAGAGGGTAACATCGATTGTTAACCATATGTGTTTAGTAAATTATGAAGAGTCTCTGGCTACATATTTTTCAAGTCAAGCTTGCTACCCCATAATTTGTACATGATGTACCCCCATTGGCCCATTCCCACTAATCAAGCTTGCTACGCCCATGTATATCATCAGTATATATATTAACAAAATCACATATATATATACATAGTTCAAAAAATCATGCATGTATAATAAAATTTATTATGAAATAAAAATTACTAAACATCAAACATTTATTTAAGAAAATTGTTTGAAACAACACAAATCCAAAACATAAAATATTAATTGAGTTAGGTAAAATATAAAGGAAAACTTGATTGCTTCATATTATATTCAACGTCCGAACCTTTTATGTTTTTATTTATGGAAATGTTCAAACCACATGGCCCAAGTCAAAGCATATACAAAAGGGTCGAAGCGAACGCAACCTCATGCAAATATAAACATAGATGAAAAGAGGTGGTACTGGTACATCATTGCAGCCAACTCCAATGACATTCGCCTCATAATTTAAGATAATCGCATATAACGTTGAAATAAATTATTATAAACGACAGTTCGTAATTGCAGACAATTCCAATGACATTCACCTCATAATTTAAGATAATCACGTATAACATTAATATGGGAAGAAACATAATATATATAATCTATATATAGCCTATAAAAATCACAGGCATGGAAGGAAGAAGGAAGCATAATAGTACAAACTGAAAAATATTTACCTCTCTGAAGTTCAACGAGCTGTTCATGGCGATATCTCCCTTTAAGCCTATGCTTCTTCTCCTTGCATCACTCTTCTTCTTACCCCCTTCGCACGCTGTCCATTTCCAATACTGCAGAGGTAAGTGTACTTTGTTAGTCATAAACTTATTTATGTACAAATTTATATTTTGAGTTAATATATATAACACATCTTTTTATTTGACTATGGTTTACTCATGTCCTCTCTTTTTTAATTAACAGTAAATAAATTTTGGACTATATAAGTTAACGTAGACTAAAACTGGACATTCCTATTGTTTGACGTATCAATTCAATAGTTTTTTTCTTGCATCTAATTCGCTTTGTAAGAAAGATTTATAGATCCAAGTTTTTGACCTACCAAGTACGAACCAAGGAAGTACTTCCAAAACTAATCTATGCGACTCTTGTACTTGTAGGAAGTGGATATGATTACGGTAACATCACTCGTGTGGATATCTCTCCAAACCGGGTTGAGGGCAGTGACGAACCAACCATTACGTTTTCTGGTTTCGCAAATACTTGGAGTACACAATATTGTCCTTCCGATATTCCCAAAGTTTTAATTCTTTTCCAGGAAAAAAATCTTGACAAAATGTTTTGTATGTACATACAGGCAGCAACATCTACCGAGGAAGAATCGTCGTGTACATTTTTTCGACTACACCGTGGGGTACTGACGCAGGTCGCATTCTTGTAACAAAAGAATTTGATGCATACGATGGCGTTATTGAACATGGCAAAAACTTCGAGTTAAGCATCAGTGTTCCTAGTAGCGAAGCCAATTTGGTAATTTAATTACTCTTACAATCTTTATTTTTGGTCAAAAAAAGAAAAGAAATACTAGTTTGGTATGAACCACTAGTTTGCCTGGCAGTGATTGTGATTGGTTCGCCAACCACTAGTTTCTGATCATTCCAGTTTAAACAGTTATTCTTGTTGAGCCGAAGCCGTATTAAAACACCTTCACTTGGATTGTCTGATCCCTGACAGTCTTTTTTTTTAATAATGTGCCAAGGGTGAAACAGCGGTTTCCGTAACTTTGATTGATGAACTTGGACTCTATGATGTCAAGCCGGGGCCACAAGAAAGAATCTGCTTTGAGATGTTCTTTCCTTCTAAATGTCACTGGGAACCCTTTTCTTGTTAATCAAATCTACTTGGCTGGTGAAGAAAATATGTTGTCAAAGTCATTTTTATTAGAGAGGGTCCCTATTGGCATTTGTGTTTTGTGTGTTTTCTTCTCCAACAAATAAAAGAAATCTTTAGCGGTTGATATTGGTTTGATTTTCAACTCATGTTTGTATCAAATCCCATATGTTCAGGGAATCGATTAGCAAGCTTCCGTAAATATGTATGTATGTGTAATCGTTCTATGAGAAATACACAGAAAAACAGTTCCTTCTGACCTGAATTATTTAGGCTATAAATGGTGACCAAAGGAATGAGGAGGAACAATGCATTCCTTAATGTTCCTAAAATAATTTACCATTCATAAGGAATAGTTTTTCCTTTCTATTCCTCCTCATTCCTTTTATTGTAGAGATTTATTAAGCACATTTGTTCCTTATTAAATTTGATAAGGAATAGTTATTCCTTTTCATTCCCATAATTTTATTCCCATCTATTATATTCCTATTTGTTCCTGATATTCCCGTGATGGTTACCAGTTAGAGCCTTAGATTTCTATGAACCGGGATGTTCTTAATGGTTTTCCCTATTGAACCAAAAGCTGGTTTATTATATAATCTACCTTTTTAGCGTCAGATAGCTAAGTTCGATTCGAATTGCAGCAAGTTTTAATCGAATAGGTATATCACCAGGTTACTACACCAATTTTATCACTCGAATAGGTTACTAACGGTAACCAATTCTAAACCTGAGCTTGTAGGCTATACATGTAAGCCGGCAAAGTGGAAAGTGTAGTGTCCTGACTGAACTGGTTTTTCTAGGGACCGCTTAACAGGTCAACAAGAGTATTTAGGGACTAAAGTCCCATATCGGTTGTTGGAAATGATCTCTAACAATATATAAGATATATGGGCCACTCCACTTATCACCAATTGGTTTTAGGTTAGAAGTCCATCTAGCTTAACATGGTATCAGAGCCCACGATCCATGTAATCCAACCCAATCTTTATCGATCTAGTCCAAAGTCAGCCCATCAATCCTTGCCCGAACATTCCGCGATTGATGCCAAAGAGTCATCATCTCGAGGGAGCGTATTAGGAACTAAAGTCCCACATCAATTGTTGGAAAGGATCTCTAGCAATATATAAGATATATGGACCACTCCATATCGCCGCCGGTTTTAGGTCTGGGTTTAGGCACCGGACCTGACCTTTCACTCTTTTTCTTTGCATTCTTGTAGATCATTATGGAAAGAGTTGTGTGTATATATTAATTTATTTACCCACGTCCACAATTAAGTAGGAAATCTCAAAGGCGTTCTAAACAGTCAAGCAAGCTCATTAGAACATAGACAAAATACATCATACTTTTATTAATCAGTTCATTTCAACACGGGAAAATCATTTAGATTTTATGTAAGTTATGAAAAATTGAAAATGCACAAACAACTTGGCTGAAGTCAACGCATATTAAAAATGGTCGAGGCCGACGAAATATCAGACAAATTTTAAGATAATCGCGTATAACGCTGGAATTAATTATTGTGAATGAAAGATGGTGGTAAGCAATTGGAGACATGCACCTCATATTTTAATGTTATCGCGTATAGCAAGGGAAGAAATATATTATTAATTTGTAGCCTATAAATAATCACAGACATGGAAGGAAGCATAATAGCACAAACTGAAAAAGACTTTACTTCTCTGAAGTTCAACCAGCTGACCATTCATGGCGATATCTCCCATTCAGCCTATGCTTCTTCTCCTCACGTCACTCTTCTTCTTACCCTCTTTGCAAGCTGCCCATTTTCGATACTGCAAAAGTAAGTGTATCTCGAGTACTTGTTATAATCAGAAATTTCTTTATGCATAAATATTTGTACGTATGTTTTTTAAAAAAGTTAATATGTATAACACATCTTTTTTTATTCGATAAATCAATTCTGTAATACAAATAGAGCTTGATTTTATAGACTGTGGTTTGCTCCTATCCTCTTTTTTTACTTAAAACAATAAAGAAATTATGGACTCGAATAATTTTTTGGATAATAGTTTTTAGATAAAATTATGGACTAAAATCGTTTTTGGATAATATTCCTATTATTTGACGTATCAATTCAATAATAATATTTGGATCTAAATAGTTTTGTAAGAAAGATGTATAGATCCAACTTTTTGACCTACTAATTAAGTACCAACCAAACACGCATATATGACTTCCAAAACTAATCTCTGTGACTGTTGTGGGTGAGGGATATCAGATATGTTTACGGTAACATCACTCGTGTCGATGTCTCTCCAAACCCAGTGGACGGCGGTGACGAACCAACCATTACGTTTTTCGGTTTCGTAAATAATTCAAGTACGGTTCTGATCTTCCCAAGTTTAAGTTTTTAACTTATGTTTTTTTCTTTTCCAAATTCGTAAAAAAAAAGTTTTGTGCGTACAGGCGCCACCATTTACAGAGGAAAACTGGAGGTGTACATTTATTCGCATTATCTGCATGTTGACACCAGTCGCATGCTGGTAACAAAAAGAGTTGATGAAAACGACGGCATTATTGAACGTGGCAAAAACTTTAAGTTAAGTATCCGTCTTCCTGCGAGCGAAGCCAATGAGGTAATTTAGTGACCCCTTACTTTTGGTAATTAAAAAATAATAATTAATACTACTAATTTACTAGTTTGGTATTAAACCGAGCTGAGTTGTGATTGTAAGAGCAGCAGCATTGAAGGTTGTTAGACCAGGTTCACACGCATCTCAAAACGAAAAGGAGTGAATTCGGCTTCGCCCCTCTGCGGTGAACCCGTTTCCACAACTTTTTTGTTTAGAAAAAGTAAACAAAAAATAATAAAAAATTTTTAACACACCACGTGTGAACTTGTACCAAGGTTTATTGATGCTGCTGCTCTAAGCATCCGTGTTCCTAGCGAAGCCACTATAGTAATTTAGTGACCCCTTACTTTTGGTAACTAAAAAAAAACATAATTACTAATTTACTAGTTTGGTATTAAACCGAGCTGAGTTGTGATTGGTTCTCTTAACCACTAGTTTCTGATTATCACGTCTAAACATTTAAGGGATATATTCAATCTAAAATTTAAGATAGTTTATTTTTTAATGAAGTTTTAAATGATTTTAATAAATCGCAAAGATTTAAGTAATTTTTGTTAAATCACTCTAGAATATCAACTAAAACCATGGAATTTAGGTTTAATTTTTTTTATATAAGAAATTTCACCCAAACATTCCAAATCACTTGAAAATTTAAAAATTCCACAACTTAAATTATTTCTAATAACGATAGATTTCATAATACTTTATAAAATGTCGAAGTTAATAACATTGGATTTTATATGATTTTTCAAAAATTCATGTTTGAATAACGGTTGATTTGTCATTTTAAACAAATCACCTAAAATTATCAATTGAATACCCCCCTTTATTCTTGTTGAGCCGAAACCGTATTGAAGATTTACTCTTGTTGTTTTTTTTATCTTAAGGGTGAAGCACCAATTTCCGTAACATTGATTGATGAACGTCCGATATATGATGACAAGCCAGTGCCACAAAAAAGACTCTGCTTTGATATGTACTTGCCTTCTACAAATCACCCAGAACCCTCTACTTCTTCTTAATTAATCTACTTGGCTGATGATGAGAATATGTTTACAAAGTCATTTTTATTAGAGAGAGACACTCTCCCTACTTGTATTTGTTTTTGTGTGTGTTTTCTTGTCCAACAAATAAAAAGAAAGCTCTAACCGATGATACTCTTTGTTGTAAATTTGCTTTGATCTCTATGAACCGGGATGCTACTAATTAATGGTTTTTCGTATTGAACCAAGAGCTGGTTTATCATATGATATATCTACCTAATTAGATGGCTAATTTTAATCAAAAATAAATTACTTAAGTTGAGTATTGCACAAATTCTCAAATAGGTTTATCGCTCACATGTGATTTCGCTTAAACAGGTTACTACACTAATTTTATCACTCAGATAGGTTACTACAGGTAATCTTTCAATCTTGCTAAACTTAAGCTTGTAGGCTATATAAGTCATGTCCGTTGTATTATGTCCATTAGTACAAAATTGAACTATTGTGATACAACAAGTAATTACATAAATAAATGATCAAAATCTATAATGTTAAAAGAAAAAAAAAATTGTGTAATAGGATTAGAGTAAGGGGGTTAAGTGAAAAGTATAGTGTCTTTGACCGAACTAGTTTCTAGGGACCGCTTAATAGGTCACGACCCTGATCTCCTTCCTTATTATCAACACTAGCGGTGATGTTCGCCGGTGCAGACTCAATATCGCCGCCAGTTTTAGGTCGAGTTGTAGGCACTGGACCTGACGTTTCACTCTTTTTCTTTGCATTCTTATGCCACATCTTTAATGCCTTTGACGTTTGCTCATCAAACACTGATCGCTTCATCGTTGATCCCATCTGAATTTTACAAAAAAAAAACCATTAACCAAATTCTCAACATTGACAACTAACTAAAAAAACATAATCTCCAGAGAGTAAGTAACTAAAAGCTTAAACCAAACTCTCAAAAGAGACATAATGATGTATTAAAGAAAACTTTGACATGCCTGAGTCACGAGAGCGTAAAGAGGAAGTGTGATGTAACTACAGAGAAATTGCACTCCCACCCTGCATTAAGAATACTTTAAAATATGGTAGTTTCGAAAAAAACTTGTTTCTTGTAGGTCAGTCAAGTAAAAAAAAAAAAGACTCACCCTAGACAAACACGTACGATTATGAGGGCGAAATGGTGATGAAAACAGGACCTTAAGCCGAACTCATACTGCAACAATGGACGCAGAGTAAGAGAACTAAGCAAAGATCATTATAGGAAACAGAGAGTTATATGTATATTGTATTTATTTAGTGTTACAAAAAAAAATGTATATATTTATTTACCCATATCCAGAAGAAGTAGGTGATCTCAAAAGCATTCTGCACAATCAAGTAAGCTCATTAGAACATAGACACAATATAAATACTTTTTATCAATGGGTTCATTTTTCTAAAAGCCGTGAATGTACCTGGAAGAGAATGAAATGGATGATATGGAGGACTAAAGCGGGACGAGCGAACCAGAAATGTCGGTCAGAGACATTGACTAGTGGCATCCCTTGTATCACTGCATGTCTCTCTTGAATCTCCAACGCCATGTCTGATATAATCGCCTGAAGCTTGGTTCCTATCGCTAATGTCAACTTCAAACCATACACAATTTGTCCCAATTAGCTCATAAAACTTTTATCTATATTGTTCTTTTATAATAGAAGCAAAAGCTACAAGGTTGAAACTGGAGTCACACTTACAACTGGAGGAATCGTGGTAATCACAGCAGTAGCATACCACCCTAAAACGTTATACCAAAACAAAGAGATTCTAAACGTTAATTATACCGTGTTGAAAAATACTATAACACAGATATAAAAAAAAAAATAAGACTAACCGTGAACATCAACGAGTAAAAAGATCATTACAAAGGCCCATAGCGCGGGACTGCATTACCAGAGTAATGTAAAAAATTGCATCAGAAAATGATGAAGAATATGAATGTTTAGTGCAAGAAAAAGAAATGTTGAAAGGTTTATTAGTTACCTGATTCCCACGACTACCTTGAAGTCATCTTCCAGTGACCTTTTGATGTATTTTTGGAAATTAAACTTCATCCCAGGTGCCAAATGAACCTAAAAATAACATAATGATTTTGGAAACAAATTCATCTCAAAGAATTTTTATAGAGAATTTCAACATTATTTGCATAATTTCGAAGAACTTACACTTATGAACCCATGACGCATTGTCAAATAGTCAGATTTTCGTACAGATCTCAGCATCTGACGAAAGAAACACATCTGCAAGAAAAACAAAAAAAAAAAGTCAAAAGAGAAACTTTCTCTTGCTTTAGACACAAGAAAGGGAATAGAGAAGCTCAAAAAATCATACAACGTAGAAGGAGAATCTGTTTCTCGCCCAAGTGTTAACATGCTCTCTAACAAAAGATGTCTCATGTGTAAGCCTAAATCGTGAAGGATCTGTAAATTACATGAATCAAAAAAAAAATTGTTAATATGAATCAAAACAAATTGTTAATATTGTTCCCTAATGATATAGACCACATCTCGAATCATAATCACAAATCTAACCATCCATCATCTCATGATCATTTACAACCTCTTCCTCCCATACTTTCCATCCACGAATCTGCATGTACAAAAAAAAAACATAAGTTACTCACAAACACATAACAATGTCACCACATTTAATCAATCATTTTTTTTTCACATTGATCAATTATTGTAAATATATACACATACCTTTGCTCTTCCAAGCATCATGGTTATAGCACTATAAATGACATGAAACACAGCCAAGAAGAAGATAAAGATATGCACTTGGTGCAACGCGTTGAGTGATATAAGCGGCACGTAACCCTGCATGCAAAGACAACAACATCATCAACATAAGAGAATCTTTGTAATAACTATAAGGCAAATAGATAAGAGAGATGTTGACCTTCTTGCACTGAGCAGGAGCACCACCAGCCAAAACACGGCGCTGAACGGAGAGAAGATGCCTCTGCATGTGATCGATATCCTTTGGCTGCTTAGCTTCACCAGAGGGACCATCGTACGGACCACAAAAGGACATAGCGTTACCGTATTTTGACGGCACGCACAAGCTTGCGATGTAGTTTTGTCCAAACGTTAGTAACAGCGAAATGAATCCCAAAACCATAAGCTCTGCCCAAGAAAAAATAAAAACCAATTTTAACAATTTCACAATTCCATTTTAGGGTTTTCTTGTTTCCTTGAGATACACGGTACCGTTTTTGATCTTTTGAAGAGCTTCGTATAAGGCTTTCTTCTTTTTCCTCTCGAACACCTGAGAAAACGAACCATGTGGATCATGATGATGATCTTAAATACAGAAAATGTAGAAGAAGTTAATTTAGAGAAGTTACGGTTCCGATTTTGTGAATCATGAGCTCCAAGATGATAGAGATCAAGATGATAATTCCACAAACGGTAGAGACAGCCCATGTTGGGGTTTGATCAAGCTCTCTCGGGCCTTCTGTACTGCCTCCTCCGCCTCCTCCTCCTCCTCCTCCTCCCATTTTTCTTTTCTTATTTGTTTTACGATTATTATAAATATATTGCAGTTTTGTTACGGCGTATAGACGGTGGGGAACATGCAGTCACGGAGGGGAGATGTCTCCGTCGTGTTGATGGAGAAAAAGTAAATTTTACTTATTTTTTGTTTTTCGAAATTTAACTCTTTTTCTTTTTGTTTATGGCTGATTCTTAGGTTCTCTGATGGTTTTGAATAACGAAAATGTAGGGGGCGGAGATGAACGACTCTGCGCATTTTTGGGGAAATTTCAAATTATTAACAAGTGTATAAAAACATTAAAAGTTAAAAAGACGCCGTTGCCGGGCATCGAACCCGGGTCACCCGCGTGACAGGCGGGAATACTTACCACTATACTACAACGACTTTGTTGTTCTGTTTTATTAACACTAACATTTATCACATGTAAATACATATTAATCTACTGAAACAAAGACTTGTATATATAGCTGAACTTGCTTATGTCAATGATACATTTAGAATGAGAAAAGCAAGAAACTTCAATTAAAAAAGTTTGTCTCCTACATACTACAAAATGTTTCTACTGGAATCTAGTAGACAGGTGTCTATGCATTTGAGAATCAGAAGGCATAAACACTGGAAGCTGCCCACCTCTTTGTGATCTAACTTGTTGGTAGTAACCAGTTAACGGTGTTCCTCTGACCCTTCTACTACCATCACTCCCAGAAGAAATCACACTATTGAGACGTTCATCAGCATTAAGAGAACCTCCTCCAAAAGTAGCCAATTCTGTTCCAGGAGTCTGAAGAGAAGACGAAACAAACCTGCCAGCTTCTTGATCCCAAACTACTGAGCTCTCATCGCTTGTAGCCATGTTTCTTCTAGCTGCTGCTGCAATAACAACGTTCCTTGTCTCTTCCTCGTTTAATGGTGACTCGTTAGCTGATGATGACATGTACATTGGGTTGGTGAAGTGGTCTCTTGTCAAAGCTGGTGTATGGCTACTTGCAGGGCTGCTTCTCCCGCTTGCGTTGCTGCTGGTTTTATGAGGGTTCTGTCTGGAAGTTACTGGAAGAAGTATTGATGAAGATGCACGTGCTTTAGCAGCTGCTTTAGACGCTTCGTTTGAGTCGAGTTTCGCTAGCTTCCATGGGTTGATCCTTACTTGTTGACGCTGAGGTGGCTTCTTCTGTGTAAGGGAGTCAGGATCTATGGTGGATCGTGCAGTTCCAGGCTCTAAATGCTGGATAACATCGTCCTGACAAAGAGAGAGAGATCATCATACAACTGCAAAGAAGTGATACAAAGATGATCAGATTTGGCTTTCTTTTTTTACATTTTGATCCATGAATATGTTTGGAGGTGTGCACAAGGAGGCACCACGGTATTGAATACTCAATCCGAGAGAGCTTCTTCCACTAGCGGCTGTTACAGCTGAGCTTGTAGGTGAAGGTGGCTGGCTATACTCGTCTCCTCCATCTATTGACGGTCCAGGTGGCTCACTTTGTGCTCTCACGGCAACAACATATTCATATGTTGTGATTCCCTGCAGCCATAAAAATGATATAACAAACCTCAGCTTCATGGTTTTATGTGGAAGTGTTAGTGATCAAAAAAATACAAAACCTTTCGGATCAAAATTAGGTGGAAGAAGAAAAGTTCCCCAAGAGGTATTATAGCCACAAACGAGAGAGTTGTACAAACAACCTGCACAACGAAGAAAGCATTGATAGAAGATAGAATAAAACCAAATACTATCTTTGCAAAACAATTACCACAATAGCGGCAAAAGGAGGACGGGAGAAGCCAAGTCCAAGCTTTTCAGTTATAAGATGTTCCATAGCCTTTTGCTCCACAAAACATCGAACAAATACAGCAACACCAACTCCAAATTCAACTAAAAGCTGTTGTCATATTGGCAAGGTCTCCATATCATTAACATAATAAGCCTTAAAGTAACAAACTATGTTGGAAACATACCCAGAAGAAGCTAGCCGCCATAAGACACACAAAGCTCATGTAGTTCTTCTTCCCCACACAGTTATTCAGCCACTAAGGCAAATAGATTAGTACATACATTAGTCACAATGCTAAGTTTGAAAACCAAAGAATAATAAAAGTAAGAGTTCAAACTGCATACCCGGCAATGATGATCAAACCCATCGACACACTTACCACAACTTCGACAGTGCTTGCTAAATTTACGTACCTTCCAAAAAAAAAACAATGTGGTGTGACTGCAGAAGACGCAATGAGAAAGGTTTTTAACAGAAGCAAATATAGTAATATACCTCAGCATTGCACAAAGAGCAGAACAAAGCTTCTTCTTGTTCCCCTGACTGCTCTTGATGAGTGTCTCTACGACAATCTTGTATTACTACACAACCACAAAAGAACCTTCCTACAGCATTACAGCACCCTGAGCCGTGTCTAGTATACGGCACATTATTCTCTGCAACAGAAACATCACTATTAAAAAACAAGAAGTATCCGATGACAAAAATGATTACACAGCATCATAATCGGTAGAGCACTAACCAGGAACATAGTTACTGTTCTGTGACTTATGAGCTGGAGTGTTAAGAGCATCTACAAAGATTCCAGGATCTGCAGGGTCTATACCAGTGCATCGGATGTACAGAACAAAAACCGTAAACGCCTAGGCAAAAAAGAGAGAGAGAGAGAGAGAGAGAGATCAGAGCTGTGAGATATACTATAAACAAGTTTACTGCATTTGAGAGCTTAGTAATAAAACAATGTTCGTTCGTTTTAGTTCTTACCAAGAATGAGTAGACACCAATGGCGATATACTCATAGAGTATCTTCCCGAGAAAAGGAGCAAAGAAGGCATAGTATGCGATAGTGAGCAAGAAGAATACAGTTATAGCCACAACCTGCAGATCAACAGTAGATAATAAAAAAAAATTCAATACAAGGGATCTTGAAAGTGTGCACACACAGGAAGATACCCTAAACACACAAAGGGTAGGTAAAAAAGAAGAGTTATAAGTCAATAAAAATCACAAGAAAGTGAACTCTCAGATACAAATAAAAATAAAATTAACGTCATTTTCACGGGAATTAGACAAAAGGAACAAACTTTACAGAGATTAAGACAGGAAAGATTCACAATCGTTCAACCAAAGTGAAACAGATCTCTCTTTGATAATACTAAGTGAAGTAGGAAAATCTTATAACCTGAAATGTGTGGGCTGGAAGTTGCCATCCATGTCTTCTCGCCATTGCAGTGAAGAAGTTAAAAAAACTATGAGATCACTCGAAAGAGCAGAAAGAATAAAAATCCGAATTTGAAAAGGAGTGATTGTGGATGTTGTTTTCTTCCCCTAAAAACAAGTAGCTACAGTAACGTCATTTAACGTTTCGGGGGGGCATGACCCGAATTTAGTAGGGAGTATTTAAGTCGACCCGTGAAGGAAATTTCAAGACTTTTTGAATGTTTGTTTGGCAGAATCTGTCGGTCAAAGACTGTCTCTCTCTCTCTCTCGGGGATGTAGTAACAATCTGTTAGAGAACAAATGGCTTTGGATTAGTCTCCTAATAAATCCCTTTGTTTTTTTTTAATTATGTCTCTTTTTCACCCAAGAATAGATTATGTAACCCGGTTCGAGCCCGGTTTGTTTGTTCTTTTTTTCTGGTTCAAAGTTTGGAATCGATGAACTTTTAACAAAAGGTCAGTTCCGATTTTCACTCTATATTTAATGATGTTTGTTTCTATTTCTTCTCTGATTTTTCTTTGTAGTGTTTCTTTTCTGTTCAGTTTCAGTCTTTTCTTTTGGTGTTGTTCTAGTTGGTTTTTTTATCACACATTCGAATCTTCTTTTGGTTTGTAATGAATCAGTTTCTTAGTGTCTGTTTGTCACATTTATGTTTTTGTTTGATCATGAGCATGCATATATATATATATAGGTATGGCTTGTAATGACCACTTCTTTTCAATGCGGTTTTGTTGAAGAGAGGCAAAGACCAACAGACTTAAAGTTCGAACTAGTATTGTTTTGATGTTTGTAATCAGAAAAAGTTTTACAGGAGAGTTGAATGTTTTCAAGATGGAGTAACTTTATAATTAAAAAAAAAAGATCTACATAATCAGGATATTCCATTTTCTAAACAGCTCAAGGTTCTGAAAATTAACACAAAACAACCAGAACATGTTAAAGTTATTAAATTCCATTTGTCTGGGACAGACAACTAAAAAGAAGCCTAAACTAAAGATAAGAATCATCATCATCATCATTCTAGGTTGTTGGTGGACAAGTATCATTAGGCTACTTCCAGGGCATCGAAAGGTTGTTGTTGTAAGGTCCTCCTGTGCTCTGGTGAAGAGTGCTTCCATGTGACTCACTCACTGTGCCACGAGGCTGCGAGCTACTCTGATTCACCAGTATATGACTTGGGGACACACGGGGTAATCCCTGACTCGATAGTTCATTTTGTCCGTCTGGTATGAAACTCCCAACAACAATCTACACAAATTTGAGCCCCCCAACGTTATCCTTACATTGTTCTTATTGATTTGTATTAGAAGAAGGCAGGTATTATTACCTGAACAGGTGATGCTGCTATAAGAAGACCAGCTACACAACCACCTAAGACATTACCATCTGGAGCCGATAAGGACACACTTAGACCTCCCGTCCTGCTTCTTTGACCATTGTTCTCTAGCAGAAGGAACGACCCCGATAACGACAGAATCTCAAACCTCCCCTGATTTTTCAATATAAGGGTTAAGCAGCAAAAGGTTAGAGACAAAGAAACTTAAAGCAGCAAAAGCCTAATCTTAATACCTCATATGTAACGGTTCCACCGGATGTAGCGGGCTGGCGAAGAGTCACGTTAGAGATAGTTCCATTTGCAGACAAGACACACACAGCTCGTGGTCCGTTTTGAGAAAACGCCATTATCTTTGATGATACATCCTGTCCCCAAAATCACTAAACAAACGTCAGCGTTTACTGTGCAAACACAGCCACACACACACAACATCATCTTTCTCAACTTAACAGAACCCTGATCAAGTTCAACACTCTCTTGTTTACCAATAATGTTTGACCCTAACACAGTCTATAAACATTCACAAGATTTAGAGACCTTAATGAGTTAACAAGACATCTTAGCTAGCAAATAAGAAATTCAATAAGATAGAGAGACCTCTCCAGTGTTCACGGTGAGAATATGAGGCGTAAATCCAACTCCTGTCGACCCTGCAACAACAAGCACACGCACACACAAAAAGGAACAACATTCAGAACTCAAGTTGCAGTGTATAAAACTAAGAAGAATGAACTAAGAAGCTCCACAGCTACAGTAAAGAGAGTGAGAAGCCATTGACAAAGAGTAAAGATGGTTGAACAAGATACGTTAGAGGGCATATAAGTAATTCGAAGTTTACCATATTTACACCATTTATACTATATTCTAATAAGATATCAGCCGACAGAGAAGATCCAAACCCAACAGAACTTTCCAAATCCATCACGTGAGCAAGAAGCAAGATTCCAATAAAAAGAATTATAAAAGTTTACCTAAAGCTTGAAGCTTTGGCCTATTGCTAGAACCAGGAGGTCTTCCTCTCATCTTCTTAACACTAGGCGACGTTCCCCCTCCACCGGAACCACCACCACCGTCTCCGCCACTAGGCTGGCTAACAGTGTAAGGAGGAGGTCCGGGAACAAAACCCATTGACGCTTCGCCGCTTTCCGGTCCGTATCTCCTCGGTCTACCTCTTCTCTTCTTCACACGCTGCTCACTTCCGGTCACAGGCACGTTCATGTTCAATTCACCTGCTGAGTTCTGTTGGTAGTGCTGCTGTGGTGAAGATTCCGAGCTCGTGGGCTTGTAGACAGCTGTTCTGTCGGCGCCGGTGAAGGACAACTGCATGTTCTGAGAGTGTTGCTGCGGAGGAGGAGGAGGAGGAGGTTGGTTGTGTTGGTGGTGGTGGAGAGCCATTGTGAATGGGATTGGTTCTCTGTTCGCCGCGGTTAATCCTGTCTCAGATCCTGACATGTTTCTTTCACTTTCACTATTAAACAAAACAAAAAAAGGAAGAACTTTTAGAAGAAACTTCACAGGAAAACCCTAGCTTCCATTGAAGCTCTCTGAAGTGAAGACTGTAGCATCTCCGAGTAATAGAAAGTTCGAAACTTTAACACTAAACCCTAAGCAGATTACAACCGGAGAAGGAGAAAGATTCGAACTTTTTGACAATTCTGTATTCCAAAAGATTTTTTTTAGATCTAAAAAAACTTTGGAATTTCCGAATTAGGGAGTTAAGATTTAGAAATTAAACTTTATAATATTACTGAGGATATGATTATTTTTCTACAGAAAGTAAGATAAAATTAAAAATTTGAAAGGAAGAAAACTTACGATAAACTGCGAAAATTCAGCAAAGAAGGTTCCCTCCCTTCCTTCCTACAATTATTAGGGTTTTTATATTTTACTTTCCAAGCATGAATATATATACTGAGTTTCCTTTTTTTTTGTACCACCATATAATGAGCTTCCTTAAGGATGAAAAGGGCCTTTTCGCAATTCAAAATATTTTTGTCTCTACTATTATGTTAACTATGTAACTATTTTAATTTTACCCAAGAAAATATTTTAGTAACTACTATTTCAGTTATCTTCTAAAACATAGTATAAGAATTTTAAATTTTGTTTTATTCAGTGAATAATAATCTAACTTTTATTTCTATATAAATTTTCTTCAGTTGATATAAATTATTATTTACTGAGTTTGAACAAAAATGGAAATATTTACTTTTTCAATGATGCTCTATTCTGGTTTCAAAATTTTGATTTATATGAGGTGCATTTTGTATGATATATCATTTATCTGATACTCATATGCTAATGCCAACACCACCCATCCATTAAATTGTTTGTCATAGTTCTTAACGTAGGGATAGATCCACACTTCTGTTCTTAAGATGAAAAACTAAACAATCACGTTAAATAATATTCTAGTGCAGCTCAGTTTGGTTCGGTTCATTTTGCTACTAGGAATGTTAATAAGAAAACTACAAACACAGGAAGAGATCACAGTTTGAAACTCAAAGTGCTAAGAAGACTCTGCTCTATCTTCAGCTTTCCTGGATCTTCTTGTGTGAAAGAAGATGTTTAATTGATCAGTAAAAAGCAGATTCTTCATGTCCTCCAATTGTTTCCGGCTTCTCTCTATTTCCAAATCCAATTTCTCGAAATGTACAATCCTATCTCTAATCTTCATCATCTGTTAACCCCCAATTTTTAACTAAACTTAGACACATAGTCATACAAAATATGTTTAATGGGAAGTTGGGGATTATTATTATTATTACTGACCTCTACTTCTACAATCTCTCTGATGGCTCCTTCCACCTCTTTCTCTTCCTTCTCAATCAGAGATTTCGCTTCAGCCACAGCTCTCTCTGAGTCGTTACAATTGATCTCTGCGTACCAGAAAACAAAGTGTCACTTAATGGGGTTGGCATGAGACAGAAACAGACTATAATTATGTTAGCTATATACCTTGTCGATTTGGGTCTCCGCCAGTGTTTTTGCCAGCCTCATAGTCTACATCAGATAACGCTGTCACTGCAGCTCGAGCTGCTGCTTCTGCAACTTTTGTGCCAGCCAAAGCTGAAAGGAAAGCAGCCTGGAGAAGACATGATAGTAAGAATCTCATTCAGACACAGCCAATGAAGTATAACAATTGAGATGTAGTACAAGTAACAGGTACAAAATTATCTAATACCATAATCAATTCCTACATTTCCTAAAACTGTATTCTAGCTATAGGGTCTTAAAAAGAGACACATAAGTCATGGAACAGCACAAAGCAGAAACTGAACTGAGAGGAATCAAATAGTAAACTTGTAGTGAATATCAAACCTGAGCCATAATTGGGTTGCTAGCATCCGCAAGAGGCGTCAATTTCATCCGCTTATTATCGGGAGAAGACGAACCATCTTTAACTCTTCCTTCAGACTCAGGATCAACAGAGCCCTTAATCTGATCAAAAGTCTCCAAACCATCCTCAGAGTCAGAGTCCTTCGCAAACTGTTCCCCAAACGGAAGCTTAACAAACTGAGAAACACATTCTTTCTCAGTTCTACCAGTAACATGCGGCGCAACCTTCTTCCAATCATCTCCATAGTGCATAACAGCTTCCAGCAGCAGCAGAGTCTCCTTCTCAGACCACCCTGTCTTCGACTCCTCACTAAGCTCAACACGCTTAAACTCAGAGGCGTTAATACCAATACGATAGTTTCCACGAACGTAACACCTCGCACACAATGTCAACTCATGCTGCAAAAAGAAACAAAAAACATATACTTAGTTACATAATCCCATCATCATCATCAACATCAACTACTTAATTTCAAAATTCCATTATCATCAACATCATCATCATCAAAATTAACTACTTAGTTTCAAAATGACATCATCATCATCAGCATCAGCATCAACTACTTAATTTCAAAATTCCATTATCATCAACATCAACATCATCATCATCAAAATTAACTACACCAATTAGTTTCAACTTTCAAATGCAATCATCAACATCAACTACTTAGTTTCAAAATGACATCATCATCAACAGCACCATAAGTATCATCATCATCAGCACCATAAGTATCATCATCATCAGCATCAACTACTTAGTTTCAAAATGACATCATCATCAACAGCACCATAAGTATCATCATCATCAGCATCAAATACTTAGTTTCAAAATGCCATCATCATCATCAACATAAAAAAACAAGACGATACTTAATTACATAATCCCATCATCAACATCAACTACATAGTTTCAAAATGAATGCATCATCATCATCATCAACATCACCAACTACTTAGTTTCAATGCCATCATCATCATCATCAACATCATCAAGAAGAATACAATACGAAACCTTTTCAGAAGCGAAACAAGCAACACTGCAAATCTGTTTACAGGCACTACAGATCCTCTTGGCTTTAGATTCTTTAACCGTCGAGGGAGCCTCAGAAGCAACCGCCTCCTTATCATCCCACCTGAGCGGCCTAGCAGAGGCCGAGCTAGAGTAGTTAATAAGCCCCCACGAATCCAAAAAATCAAATACGCGGCGAATAGTGACAACGTCACCAACGAGAGTCCTCCTAACATCAGTGAAGCTAATCTTATTAGGATGCTCGTCTCTGTACTGCTTGATGATCGAGTTTCTCAAGTAAAGGTAAACCCTAGGGCTTTTGGAGGAGGATCTCGAATTGAAAAACTCCGGTAGGGATCGGGTTTCGCATTCGTTGATCCCGGTCCACGAAAACCAACCTAACCGGTTTAAATTAATTAGAATCAAGTGAAGAATATTGAATTAAAGGTAATTTGGACTTACGGGAGTAGCTAGGTATGTAGATGAAATCGGTATCGGAAGAGGAAGGAGGCGGTTGGAGGGAGTTGGAAGATGCGGAGATTTCAGAAGGGGTTTCGGGGATGATGGGAGGAGAGGGAGTAATGGGGGGAATTTCGCTAGATCCGCCGGGAATTGGAGCGTTCGTTGCCATGAGTGTTGAACCTTACTTCGCCGGAGAAGAAAGAGATAAGAAAAAAAATAATAATGGATTTAATCTAATTAGGTCCGAAAGCTAAACGGGTTTAGGTTTGGGTCCGTGTCTGGTTTAGGTAAACCGTAAATTTACAAAAAAAAAGGATTATAATGATGCATATGAAAGTTTAACAAAAAGTTGTGGTGCATATCCAACTTCATATTTTTAGTTGGTTTTGTCTCTAATGTTAAAAATTTATATAGGTCACTGGGTGATTCTTGTGAGCTTTCGCATTGGATATAACTTTATTTTAAACACTAACAGATGTAATTTATGAATAAATATATTATAACGACTAAATAATATTTTTTTAGTTTTAAACAATTTCATAATTTATATATAATTCATTTTAAGTAATAATGTTATGTTATTTTAATTATACATGTGATTTTAGATATATAATATTTAGTAGGTTTGGCTATTAATATTTAGATGTATTAAATTGCATTTACTTCTCTAAATTCAGCTATATTTTTTTGTTTTAAATATATTTAAAAAAATTATTACATTTTTTTTATTTTGATATAGATTGATTGTTATCTTGGATAGTAAACTTATGTATAATTTAATATATATATATATATATATATATATATGTATGTATTTCTGAAAATTAAATAGGAAACATAGCTAAAGTTGATTGATTCAAAATTACATAATTGAATATAACAATAATACGTTGAAATTTCTTTTAAATAAGTGTTTGGTACTCATTTTCTTCGGTAACCTTTTCCTTTCGTACTCGTTGAAAAGTATGTTCATAGGATTTGTTTAGTTGACTAGTTAGATTATACATGATTTCATGTTGGTAATGGTTTCCTTTGATTGGCGAGCGATATTCTGTAGATTTTCTTGTGAGTTGTGATAAGAGTTTGTTGTCGTGACTCGTGAACTTTCAAATGTTTTCTTTGACAACAATCACCTGAATCATTAAAGCCTTTTTACAACAACAAAAAAAAAAAAAAAAATCACGTGAATAACATCATAGAGGGGCATTGTATCCATGGTGCACTCTTGCCCTGCAAAATATTAACTATCACAGCCCTGAACTCGCTTCTGTCGTTGCATGTGAGTCATACAAGAGCAATCCAAATTAGCACCTATGCTTCTATAGAGTCGAAGTGAATCTGGTGATTTACCAAACAGTCGATGTGGATGAGATTGCTAGGAGGTCCGTATGGAGTAGTACCAGGTCAATGGTTATTTAAAGATTATTAAAGATTTAGTTACTTTTATCTTTAAACGTAAAACGAAATTAAGAATTTTAAGATATTTTTTGAATTTAGAGGTTTTTAAAATTTTGTTTTAAACTTATTAATAATTTTGATTGAAAACATATTTTGAGTTTTAAAATGACTAACAAATTTAAAAGTAAATGTTTTAAAATGAAATTAATTTGAGTATTAAAAATTAGGATGTTAAAAAGTTTAACAAAGTTTAGTTGAAGTATTTTTATGAAATTTTCTCTTTGTTGTTCTTTTCAAGTTAACAGTCCAGGATCTTAGCTTTCCTGTAGCTCTCTATCGAATCCACAAGTGTTTCCTCCAAAGGTCTGAAAGTCCAACTCAACTTCTGCAACTTCTCTGAGCTCATTATAGCCCTTTCTTCCACTTCGACGTAGCTGTCACATTGCATAAGTAGAGCTTGGATCAACGTTAAGATCAAGAAGAAACTTCAAACACTAATCTAAAGGCTTCTGACATTGTTTACTGATGAAACCAACAATGAAACCACAGCAAAAAATAGTGTGTTTCAAAGAACAAAAATGCAGACCAACAAAGACAGCTTATTATGGTTTAATGTGTTGTTGTTCGCTAACCTCTTTGGGTAGTTGTAATTAGGGTAAAGACTCTTGAGCTTTTCAACAACATCCTTTTCTCTAGCATTGTGGGCTGTACATACGTATCTTCCTTCAGATTCTTGTTTCTCATAAACCAAAAGTAACGCTTGAGCTACATCACGCACATCTACAATAAATCTCACTTGGTTCTCCCGTGACTCAAAACCCTCTGCACCACACAAAAGGTAGGATCAAGAAGATTCACCAACCCATATACCAAAGTTGCTTTCTAACAATCCAAAATGCTATTAAGGTTTAGTTATACCTTTAAGAAGATTGGCAAGAACAAGGGTACTAGCGTTAACGGTGTGTTGCTGCAGTACAGGTCCAAAGACCAAGGTAGGGCAAATACTGACGAGATCAATCCCGGTTCGTTTTGCAAATTTGAAAGCTTCACTTTCTGCTAGTGTCTTCGACGCACGATACCAATTCTGCCAAAAGGACTAAACTCAGTAAACAACAGATGTGGAAAAAAACAAGTGGGAGACTAAGTATTCAGGATTCATTTACCCCAGATCTTTTGCAAAACTCCAGGTCAGACCAACATGCCTCATCTATAACTTGGTCCTTTGACCAATTAGGGTTCATAATAAGTGCAGCTGCAGAGGAAACGTACACAACACGCTTAACATTTGCTTCCACGCATGCCTTGAGCACATTCAACGTCCCATCCACAGCCGGTGCCATCACTTCTACCTACAAAAACCAGTGTAGGTTTAGAAAATATAACTAAAGGAGACTAAAGTGAGCTATGGAAAAATCCTGACCTCAGGATTTGGGAGTGGAGATGATGGAAGCGGGCTTGCGACATGGAAGACGCCGCTGCAACCTGCAATAGCTGATTGAAGAGAGGCGTAGTCCAGCAAATCAGCCTTGGAGAGTTTGAGTTTGTCTCTAGCTTTCTCGAGCTTCTTTAAATGAGAATACTTTTCGTTATCTAATAAAGGAAAAACATAAACCCCATGTGGAACTCATCAGAGACAACAAGAGTGGTCTGAAAGTGAAACAGAAAAATGGGTTGATAGATAAATCCCCATCTAGAGTCCACCTAGGATCGAAGATAAGATAATCAAAGCCTAGAAAGTGAAGGATCACTTCCAAGGACTGAGATTTATGATGGTGATGATCGTGAGAAGAAGACTTGATGAAGAAGATAAAGTTTTGATCTTCACAAATAGCCAAAAGGCTTACAAATAGTATTTGTGAACTGGTTTACTACAACCAAACCGGAATACATACTATTATTGATTAAACCAGATAGCTTTCTAACACTTCATTAAACCATATAGAGAATAGACAGTATCTTACGATGAAGTAGAGATTAGAGGAGTAAGTTAAGTACCAGGGTCTCTGACAGTGCCATGGACGAAGTAATCCTTAGAGAGGAGAAGATCAACTAGCCACGAGGCCAGAAAACCACCAGCGCCGGTTACACAAACCTTTCCTTTCTCCACCACTGACATTTTTCAGTCTCCGAGATGCTTATTCGGTCTTCTTCTTCTTTGTCCGAGTGCAAGATGCGTACTGGCTCCACTGAATTTCGTATGCTTTGTTTGTTTGACTTTCTGTCTCAATACTTTTTTATCGAAGTGGGCTTTTATGCAAAGTCCATGGGCCTAACACTTCTTTCGGCCCATATTATAGATCAAAACTCCGAAGCTGCGTGGATTAAATACAGAACCAAACCAACCTATCCGAACCCAAAATACAAACGAATTCAGCACAGCGATTCAAACACACACAAACACTTTATTACAGACAGTGTTGAGTAATTTCCACAGCTCTATTATTGAGTAACGATGATTGAAAGACAGAGAGAGTATGTGTTTGCGCAGGTTGTAACACTTATAACAACACTTGGAGCCATGAACATAACCAGAAGAACTCTCTTTTGCTATTCTTTCCAACTTATCAGTCCAGAATCTTAGCTTTCTTGTAGCTCTCTACCGAATCCACAAGTGTTTCCTCTAACGGCCTGAACGTCCAACCCAACTTCTGCAACTTCTCTGAACTCATCGTTTCCCTTTCTTCCACTTCCACGTAGCTGTGACATTGCATAAATAGAGCTTGGATCAACATTAAGAAGAAACTTCAGACACTATCCTACAGGTTTCTGACATTGTTTATTGATGAAATAACAAATGAAGCTGCAACAAAGAAAGCTTATGGTTGTTAGGTGTTGTTAGCTTACCTTTTTGGGTAGTTGTAATTAGGGTAAAGACTCTTGAGCTTCTCAACCACATCCTTTTCTTTAGCCTTGTGGGCAGTACATATGTATCTTCCTTCAGCTTCTGGTTTCTCATAAACCAAAAGTAACGCTTTAGCCACATCACGCACATCTACAATAAGTCTCACTTGGTTCTCCCGTGACTCAAAACCCTCTGCACCACACAAAAAAAGTAGAATCAAGACCCTACATAGATTCACCAACCCATATATTGCTATGTAACAATCCAAGATGTGATTATACCTTTAAGAAGCTTGGCAAGAGCAAGGGTACTAGCGTTTACTGTGTGCTGCTGCAGAACAGGTCCAAAGACCATGGTAGGGCAGATGCTGACGAGATCAATCCCGGTTCGTTTCGCAAACTCGAAAGCTTCACTTTCTGCTTGTGTCTTTGACGCACAATACCAATTCTGCCAAATAGACTAAACTCAGTAAACAAAATATGTGGAGGGTTGGAATTTAACAAGTGAGATTCAATGGTTTTGCATTAAAAAAACCTCAGTTCTTTTGCAAAACTCCAGGTCAGACCAACAGGACTCATCTATGACTTGATTCTTTGGCCAATTAGGGTTCATCATAAGTGCAGCTGCAGAGGAAACGTACACAACACGCTTAATGTTTGCTTCAACGCACGCCTTAAGCACATTCAACGTCCCATCCACAGCTGGTGCCATCACTTCCACCTGCGAAAAAACAATATAAGAAAAAATTAGACAAATTAAGTAGCTTCAGAGCTATGGAAAATCCTCACCTCAGGATTTGGGACTGAAGATGATGGAACAGGACTTGCTACATGGAAGACGCCGACGCAACCTGCAATAGCAGATTGAAGAGAGGCGTAGTCCAGCAAATCAGCTTTCACGAGCTTGAGTTTGTCACCAGCTTTCTCCAGCTTCTTCAAATGAGAATACTTTTCATTATCTATAAAAAAAAAAAAAAAAAAACATAAACCCATGTGAAAACTCTTGATCAGACACAACAATAGCGGTCTGAAAGACAAACAACAAACAAACAAAGAAACTCAAAAGCCAAATCTAAGAAACTCAGCTAAAATAGTGTTTCTTCTTTCAAATAAAAGTGAATATTCTTATGAAGTAGAGATCGGAGAGATTAGAGGAGTAAGTACCAGGGTCTCTGACAGTGCCATGGACGAAGTAATCTTTAGAGAGGAGAAGATCAACAACCCACGAAGCAAGAAACCCTCCCGCACCGGTAACGCAAACTTTTCCTTTCACCACCGCCGACATATTTTCGATCTCCGAGAAGCTTCTTCAATCTTCAGACCGTCTACCTTGTCTGAATGCCAGGTGTGTACTGTTCCTCTCCACTCCTCTCAATTACGTATGCTTCACTTATGCTTTGACTTTTTGTCTCCATCCTTTTTTTTCCCGAGGTGGGCTTTACATGGGCCTACTAATTTTTATCCGGCCCATGTACTAGATCAAATCTCCGAATGCTACGTGGATCGTTTGCAGACGCACGATCGTCAAATCAGAAAACCAACAGATTAGTGAATTAACCGGTTTCGACAACCGGTTTAGTATTCGCAGTGGGCATCAAGCAAATGAGAATTAAATCATCAAAAAGTCAAGCGAAACGTTAGAGAGAGAGAGACTCGTATTGTGGTCATCGATGGGTAGCGATTGGAGAGGATCAGTGGGGAAGGTGAGGTCTTTCGTGGGGAACTCGATGGGAGGTCTAAGAGGAGGTCAGAATATCGCATCTTGGCTCGTAGCGGGAACAATCGCTTACTATCTGTGGGTTAAACCAGCTCAGGATCTCAAAAAGGAACGAGAGGCTAGGGCACTTCTTGCGGTTGCGGATCGGAATCAATACGTGGAGAAGAGGAAACCAATCGCTGATCCTCAGGTCAATTTTACAAAACATCAATCAATTGTTCGGTTTGTTCGTTAGGATGTGGTTTATATGGTTTATCAATGGTTTGATATTTTGCAGGTTACTGGTCTGGTTTATGGAAACAAGAAGATAACCGATACACCACAGGATTGAATACTCTTTTTTTTTTTGTTTCTGCAAGTTTGAGAACATCTTTTTGTAAGTCTGTTTAGCTTCTGCAGTTTTGTCCTGTTTTATCATATTGCTAAGAAGATGATCTTTGTATAGACAAAAAAAAACACTATAGTTGTGTCACTTTACAAACAATCGAATCAGAGAAGGATGGAAACTTTTTTTTGTTATCCGTTTGTGAGGTTTGTTGAGAAGGGAATCTGAAACTTCATTTTGACTCTCTCAGCTTTCTCTTATTGCTTTGACTTTTGATAATAACGTTGGATTCGAATTATTTGTTTATCATGCAAGTGTAGTGTAGAATGCAATTAGTTTTGATTGAGTTTATTCTACTATGGTTGTGCTCTGCTTAAGGATTGGACAATTATGCTGTTAGTTCTTTCTTTTAGTTCAGTTGCAAACTTGATCATCTTTTTATTATCATGCAACTCCGATGTTTTGTGCTTGCGTAGAATGGGGAAGATTTATGTCTGTATGGGATTACTCATCAACTAATCTTATTGCGTGTCTGGACGGAAGATGCTTTATGTATGAATTGGTCATATGGGTTTGGTTTGGTTTGGTTTGTTCTGTGCGTTCTTCCAACTGATTCAGTTTTGTGTGTGTAGATCTAGGTGTGTATTACTTTAGTTAATTCTTTACATACTCGCATCAAGATTAGTGAAGCTCTTTTGACTTAGTATCCATAAGCTAAGTTCTTTTGTAATCCTCAAAGGGTCATGAGTATATATACGATTTTGCTACAGAGAAGACCGCAACATGAAATCATTCCTTTTAATTTTGTGTGACTGAAAACCCACGTTATGGGAGAACAACAAAGTCTCCTTGGTTAGCAAATGTGTAAAGCTCACTGGACTCGAACAAGAGCACTAACTTTTAAGTTTGACCTGTGATACCACTGTCTTTTAGGCTTAATATAATCGAGCGACCTTCTTCAAACATCTTCTCCTGCATTGCTTAATATAAATTCTCTGTTGGGAAGATGAGAATATCAATGTCTTCAAACTACTATGTCCGGGCGGACCAGCTCATCAAGGTACTTTACTCACATACAGACACTATTGCTTCTTGGATCTATTTCCACTAGGAATGTCATTTATTCCACAGATCATGTTGACTTATTGGATCAATACAAAAGAAGAAGAATTTCCTTAAAACATAATTCTGTAGAAAATTATGAAGACGTACCAAATTTCCCACTTATATAATTCTATGAAAAGTGGGACCAATAATAAACGTCCAAAAAGTCAACAGCACCAATGACGCGTTCATTGACTAGAAGAGTCGTCGCCGTCTCATTTTGGTTTATCTCCTCCTCTCTGTTTTAAATCAGGAGATATTAGCTCATAGCTCAAATACAAAAACACTTCCATCAACACACAAACACCACCACATGGCTGCGCGTACAATCCACGCGCTACCAATCTTTCTCCTCCTCCTTCTCTTCTTCACCACATCTTCACCGACCAACGCTCAACAACCATACGTCAACAACCACCAACTAGCCTGCGAGGTCCGAGACTTCGACAACATAACCAACGGCTTCACCTGCAACGGCCCACCCTCATGCCGCTCCTACCTCACCTTCTGGTCTCTCCCACCCTACAACACCCCCAACTCCATCGCCACACTCCTCAACGCCTCCGCCACCGAGATCCAATCCCTCAACAACCTCACCTCCCTCACATCCACCATCCCCACCCGTCAACTCGTCCTCATCCCCACCACCTGCTCCTGCTCCTCACGCGGTAACCTCTACCAACACAACACCACTTACACACTCTCCGGCAGAACAGCCGAGACTTACTTCTCCGTTGCCAACGACACTTACCAAGCTCTCTCCACGTGTCAAGCCATGATGTCTCAGAACCGTTACGGAGAGAGAAACTTAACAGCCGGGTTAGACCTCCTCGTCCCTCTCCGCTGCGCTTGCCCCACGCGGAATCAGACCGCCGCGGGGTTCAGGTACCTCTTGACTTACTTAGTGGCCCAGGGAGACAGCATCTCCGCCATCGCGGAGATGTTTGGAAGCTCGTCGGACGCCGTGAGATCCGGTAACGAGCTCGCGTCGGACGATATTTACTTCTTTACGCCGCTTCTTGTTCCTCTCAGGACGGAACCGAGGAGAATAGTGATTACTCCTCCGTCGCCGACACCGCCGGTTTCTGCTACTCCTCCGCCGCCGGTGGTTTCTCCGGGGTCTAATTCTTCTTCTAATAAATGGATTTACATCGGAGTTGGAATCGGAGCTGGTTTGCTTCTATTAATCTTAATCTTATCTCTCTTCTTCTGTCTCTACAAAAGAAGATCCAAAACGTCGTCGTTAACTGAACAGAACAAGTTAACAGACTCATCGACAAAACAGTCTCTTCCGACAACGTCATGGTCAATCGATTTATCGAAATCTTCAGACACCACAACATCTGGTCTCAAATCAGCTATAGAGTCTTTAACTCTCTACAGATTCAGCGAACTTCAATCCGCGACTTCGAACTTCAGCGAGGAGAATAAAATCAGAGGCTCGGTGTATCGCGCAACGATCAACGGAGACGACGCGGCGGTTAAGGTGATCAAAGGAGACGTCTCTTCCTCCGAGATCAGTCTCTTGAAGAAGCTAAACCATTCAAACATCATCCGTCTATCAGGGTTTTGTATCCGTGAAGGAACCTCTTACCTCGTCTACGAGTATTCAGAGAACGGATCGGTTAGTGATTGGCTTCACTCGTCTAACAAGAAGAAGACTCTTACGTGGAGACAGAGAGTTGAGATCTGTCGGGACGTAGCGGAGGCGTTGGATTATTTGCATAACTACGTAACGCCACCACATATCCACAAGAACTTGGAAACCACAAACGTGCTTCTTGATTCTAACTTGAGAGCCAAGATTTCGAATTTCGGTGTCGCGAGGATTCTTGATGATGAAGAAGGTGGTGGTGATGTTGGTGTTCAGTTGACAAGACATGTTGAAGGAACACAAGGATACTTAGCTCCGGAGTATGTTGAGAACGGAGTTATAACTCCGAAGCTAGACGTGTTTGCTTTTGGAGTTGTGGTTCTTGAGCTTCTTTCGGGGAGAGAAGCAGTGACGGTGGATAAGGAGAAGGGAGATGTGTTGTTGTGTAGAGATATAAACAATGTGCTTGGTGGAGAGAATGTGAGGGAGAAGCTTAAGGAGTTTATGGATTCATCTCTAGGGAGTGAGTATCCTTTGGAGCTGGCTTTCACTATGGCTCAGCTAGCTAAGAGCTGTGTGGCACCTGATATTAACTCGCGGCCATCTATTGGTCAGGTTCTGACCACACTCTTGATGATTGTCTCGTCCTCTATTGATTGGGAGCCTTCTCATGACCTGCTTCATGATTCAGGATCTCTTGGCAACTAGTTCTTCTATTAATTTTTTTTGTTTGTCATTAATTATGTTATGTATTTAGATTTTAGATTATGTGTAACATATAAGATAAAGACCATATGCCTATAAGAGCAAAAATAAGTACCACAGTGTACAACAAAAGTAATAAGATCTGATTCAAGAAAATTTGTCTACATCATATATGCTGAAAAAAAAACGAAATAGTCCATCCAACTTCCATAAATATGTCAATCATTTTCATACTTGAAATCTACTTTTTTTTTTGTAACACTCTACTTGAAATACTCAACCAAACATGCATTTATGCGATAGTTTGCTTTTAAGAAATTTTGTTAATTGGTTTTAGTTTTTTGATCAGGGCAATTCTCTCAAATAGCTCTTTTTAAGTTTTTATCACAAAAATAGATTTCAAAAATTAAAATGACCAAAATAACACTTTTTATTGAATTTTAAGTTTTTTTTTTAATTTTTCCCTATCTCCAAAACCCCACTTCTCAACTCTAAACAAAAAAGTATAGGATTAGCTAATCCAAAGGGTATAACTATATATTTAAAAAACATTTAAGTGTTATTTTGGTCATTTTAATTGTTAAGATCTATATTTGTGATAAAAACTTTTTAAGGTATATTTTAGTCATTTTCTCTTTTGATTATTCATATTTTGTATTTTGATTTGTGTTTTTAAGATAAATAAAATTATAATCTCTTTGAAAAAATAAAACGACTAAAAAGCCTATAACAAACAAAAGAAAATCTATAGATCTAAATTGGAGAAAGACTAATGTAATACAACAAAAAGATTTGGTGACTACAATGCGACTGAGATTCAAAGATCGCAAGAAAATCAATAGAGTTAATGCTCTATTAAGAAGAATCTTTCAAATGATTTCTTCTCAACTTATTTCATTTGATGTATTGTTTTTATTATTGTTTATGTATTTGGATATGTTGTTTACTGTTTAATTAAGTTGTTAAAAAAAAAAAACAAACAAAAGAACAGTCGAAAAAAATATAAGAAAAAAACAAACAAAAGAACAGTCATGGCCCATATAAATTAAGCCCAAGACAACACGCGTCTACACGCTCCCATATGTCTGCGCTTATATCAACGACAAAAAGGCTGTGGAAGCCCTCTCTCATTAACCAACGGCTATATTCCCTTGACTTTCAAAATTGTTTCAACGAAGAAGAAGGAAGAAAGAAAGAATCAACGACAAATGGCGGAAACAAAGGTCAAAATCTCAGATCCAGAAACAGAGTTCTTCGCTTCAAAGCAAGAAACAGGACACGAGTGGGAGCTTTTCAAAGAAAACGTCCGTCCTCTAAAGAGAGGACGCAATGTCAGTCTCCTCAACCACGCTCTCAAATCTCACTCCGACCAACAATTAAGAAAGACCCTAATCGAGAAACGGAGGTAATAAAGCTTTCACCTTTTTCACATTAATACTCTCTGGGTTTCAATCAAAATTATCAAATCACACTCATTGATTTTTCTAGGAAGTTGATTGAGGATATAGATGAGTACGATGGTGATGACCCTCTCTTTCCATGGATAAAGTAAGTTCCTTTTTACCTTTCTTGATTATACAAAGTGTTCTTGATCCAATCTTGAACCTGAGCTTTCTCTTTCTTCCAGGTGTGTTAAATGGGTACAGGAGGCGTTTCCTCCGGGAGGAGAGTGTTCGGGACTGTTGGTGATATACGAGCAATGCGTTCGTAAGTTCTGGCACTCAGAACGGTACAAGGATGATCTTCGTTACCTCAAAGTCTGGTTGGAATATGTAATCTTCCTCTCTCTCTTGTTTTTTTTAGCTCTCTTGAGTGATCTTCTTTGTATTGGAAGAGTAATACTAACTAGAAAGTGGTTGTTATTTTTTTGAAGGCGGAGCATTGTGCTGATGCGGAAGTGATTTATAAGTTCTTGGAGGTTAATGAAATTGGAAAGACACATGCTTTGTACTACATAGATTACGCCTTGCATATGGAGTTTAAGGGTAAGGTGAAGACGGCTAATGAGATTTTCAATCTCGGAATCTCTAGGTAAGTCTTCTTTCATTTTGGGTTCTGACTGTCGGATTTTGTCACATGGGCTGATATAAAAAGTGTGAAACTTTGTGTAGAAATGCAAAGCCTATGGAGAAGTTGAATGATGCTTATAAAAAGTTCATGGTGAGAACAATGAGAAGGTCCAAAACAGTTGATGATGTAAGAAGTTTCTTCTGTTTGTATGTTTCTCTATTCCCTAAGTTTTCTTCTACATGATGCTTTATGTTTTTTAACTACTAGCAGGAGACAAAGGAGAGTGACTTACCCGCAAGAAGCTTTGGGACTTTATTGTTTAGGGGAGATAACAATAGTGAGTCTCACTAATTACTTTAGAAATTTTATTAATGTCTCATAAGTTTTCTTACATGACAATGTTTTTGTATAGATACAGGAAGGCAGGCTTTAGGACCACAAGCCAAGAGAACAAAGCCTAATCAGTAAGCAGTATTTTCTCGCTTTATGCATATAATATATAAACTTCACCAAAACTTATTGTGCAAACTCACTCTGATTTGTGCAGCTCATCCAAGGCACCGTTGGCTATCTACAAGGACACTACATCAGGGGATCAAACAGAGTCGAACAAGTCAAAACCAGAGTTTGGTTCTTGGCTTATGCTTGGAGGTAGAGCAGAGAGGAACAAAGAGAACAATGCCTTACCTGGAAAATGGACAGCATTCAAGGTTTTGCTTCTGCTCTAACATACAAAACTAAAACTAAATGTTCTCTCTGTAAATTGATCACTTACGTATATATGATCTCACAGGTTCCTCAGAAACCCATTGTGAGAACTGCTGCTGCTGCCTCAGCTTCTTCCTTTGAGGTTTTTGTCGATGAAGAAGAAGAATGTACAGAGTAAGTAACACCATTTCTTTCTGTTTCCATAACAAGACATAGATGTTTCGTTATTTAACTTTTGATTATGAAACTGTAGTGAGGAAGTAGAGAAAAATAAGAGTGAAACCATCTCCTCATCATCATCAAACGCTTTACCCCTTAACGATGGCCGTGAGATAAAGAAGTAAGCGTCAAAATCCCTTATTGATTATCAAATGATGACTTCTGTATCTAAACAATGTTTCCTTTAAAAAAAAACTGTAGAGAAACAGAGCTGCTGCGACAGAACCCTTTAAGACACTTCCCTCCCAACAGCTTCTTGCGATAATGCCGTATTGTGACGTTCATCAACTTTTACAACACAATCATAATAGACAACAACAATCTACTGAATTTGAGATTTTGAGCTTTTGTCTATAAAGCTCCTTTTATGTTTCCTGTTTGGGTTTGTGTGTTTGTGATGTACTGAGATTTATGTACCATGAGTCCATAATGAATGAGCTTTTCATGTTTCTTGAAATTTATGTCTTCAGTATTGTATCTCTTTCCTAAAGATATTGGTAGTTTACAAAAACATTTAAATTAAGAAATCACCAACTGTACTACTTACTATATGTTAATTCCCTGTATTTTAAATTAAGAAATCACGATGACGATACCGTAGATGTGGTCACGGCATTGGTTTATACTTTATATGAAATGTGTTTTGATGCTTATAGTATATGGTCTAAGAGATAGATTTTGTTTAGAGTTTGATTGTAAATTAGTGATAGATGCGTATGAGTACAAAAGATTGGGTACTTCTCTCAGGAAAAGGGTGGCTTTAAGCTGAGGGGAGGGGGCATAATCAAGCATTAATAGTCATTTAATTAGATGATTAAAAACGAATGATGCGATTTAAGAGATAAGACTTTGAGTGGTACACAAGGGAAATTGAGAAAAAATTAGTGGTAAGGGGCATCATTTCATTTCATTATCTACCCTTTAAGTCTCTTTAAGGGTGCTCCTTTCTCCCAATACTTTTCTTTTACCACTTCACGTTGACGAGTTCCTTTCTCCCATTACTCAAGTTCACGATGCATCAGATTCAGTATAATGAAAAAGTTATCAGTAGCAAATAGTTTCACTTAGGATCCATGCAGAAGAAATTCAAATATAACATTGCGTATAATGAGCATAGATGAATTTTGTAAAAAATCACATATTTTAATTTCAACGAAATGACAGGGTTTAGATACATCAACAATAATATTAAAATTAAAATTATATGTAAAAATAGTGTCCTCTGTATTTTGGAGTTTCATCCAAAAGATGATTAGCTTGAAACTATGAAAGAAAGATATAAAAGATTTTATCATAAACCTATAAGGAAAAGAGTTTGTAAAGGAAAACATAGTTACTTTCCACTCTTTCATCAAAGTTCTTTCATGTTTCAATATTTGCATTAATGGTTAAATTAAATTGTGTTTGTTCTTGTGAAATATTTTATGATATCAATATATTTGATTTGTCGAAAAATAAAAAAAAAAGTTTACTGAGTTTTCTTAATTTGAATAAATTATATTATATGTATATACATATTATTAAAAAAATAAAGTTTAAAAATAGGTTTGGAAAAATACATGATCCAGTCTAATTTGTTATATAGATTCTGCATTATTAACAAAATCTAATTTGTTTTGTTTTGAGACTGAATGAATCTTGACCGTAGAAAATGAGGTGAAGATAGTGATGTGTCAAGAAAATTAGCAAATAGCCCAACCAAAGCAAAGTAAGTCCTTAATTAGACTTAAATAATTAAAGATTACTTATCTACTTGATTATGCCTTTAATTCAACAAATCTACATGAACCTTAAGAAAGGGTTAAGGGCCGATCCTAATATTAAAATAAAAAGGATCTAAAGGTCAAATTATCTACATCTAATACAATAAAGTTGACTATTCTCCCTTCTTAGGGTGTCCACCTCAGATTTTTAGAGGGGGGCAAAAAATGCCACCTCAGCAGCAATCAATCCGTAAATTGAATCACTTCCCTCAGGTTTTCAATTCGATAATGCTGGTTTTCTTAATTAAACCAAAATCTTGGGCTGTGCTGGTTTTCTAATAATATTTGATAA